CTCTGGGAACGGAGCATCCTTTAGCATTTTAGGTCTTTTTCAGCCTTATCTGGTTTTTATCACCTTATTTTTCTCTTGTCATGTTACCTGGACTCCTTTTCTTTTCTAACATTTACTATAAGTCAACTCATGTTTGATTTCCTTGGAGTTCATGTAGTCTCTGAAGGGGTTTGTCTTCAGGAGTATATACAGACACCATCTCTGAGATATAAAGAAAATAGTCTCCAACAGTTTCCTTACTTCTCATTTTATTTGAAGGAAAGGAAAAAAGACACATTTTTTCTTTCTTGCTTCTTGACTCCATTAAGAAAACTGACTTGCTTCATTTGCTAGACTAACAAATATAAACCTTTCTTACATTTTCCAAGGTGTTCTTACAATACAGTTTGAAGCTATTTGATTCTAATAGAAAAGGCTTTATTTGATCTTTTATCAATATCATCTTTTATCAATATTGATATACTTGAATTTTTTAATTTTAAAAGTCATCTTCATAAAAACAAAAAGGAAAGAAGTAAATTATGTTTATGCAGCATTAGTAAGGAATGAGGCAGATGTATATACAGAGTTCGATGTTCATAATGAATTATCAGGGAAAAAACATGTACTATGTACATGTTAGTAGTTTTCATTATGTGTCTGTAACTTTTTTTTATAAATGAAGGTAGTAAAAAAGATGTGTTTAATGGGAAAATGCAGTAATTGATTATAAAATATATGATTTCAAATAGCAATTTCAATATTTTATTTTTAATAGCTTTTAATGAGAATATTCTTGAATTATGTTATTTTACTTTATTAAGCTTTCTGCTTCCCCCAGAAGTCCTTTTGTTTTTGTTCTTGTTATCCATGTACTTTATGCAAAGCATAATTAAATAGTTCTTTGATTATTGAGGACATCTACTTTCTTATGGTCCTCCTTCTATCATTTTTAATTTTTCAGTGTCTTTCCCCTAGTTGTCTTTCTAGTCAGTTGGCAAACTTTGTTGATTCTTCCTTCATTTGCTTGTACAGCTATGTATACTCCTTTGCAGAACTACTGTTACCATTTTTTTCCAAGCTTTTCCCTACATATCAAAGTGGTGACATTAGCTTCCCATCTTCTGAGTCTTACCAACAGTAAGTTTGTGCATGTTGCTATCTTATTAAGATTTTTTGGGCTCATTTCTCATCTTGTATTCCTATTCTCACATATGACTGCTGACTTTTATGTTCACATATGTCTGCTGACTTTTAAGAGCATCTATGTAATGGCCTCAGTTTAACTTTTTTGATAACTTCTTACTATACTGCATTACTTTCTTTCCAGAGAAACAGTTTGCTCTTTGCTGAACTTGCTGTAGTAGTTTTTCTCAACAGTGCTTTTGTTTTTACTATTCTTAAATTTAGCATAATCCTTTTCTTCTTAAGCCACTTAAAAATGTTATTCTTGTAACATTTATCACCACATTCTGGCTCCTCTTTTATGTGTTTTTATACTTTTTAAGATAATTTAGGCATCCCTAATCCTAAAAATCCAAAATGTTCCAAAATCCAAAAGTTTTGATTACCAACATGACCTACAAGGGGAAAATTCTATATTTCACCTAATGTGACAGGTTTCAGTTGAAATGTAGGTTAACTAAAAACATATAAAATTACTTTTTAGGCTGTGTGCATAGGGTATATATGAAACATAAATAAATTTTGTGTTTTGACTTGTGTCCCATATGCAAGATTTGCCATTAAGTATGTGCAAATATTCCAAAATCTGAAGAAAAAAACCAGAAATCTGAAACACTTGTGGTCCCAAGCGTTTTAGATAGGGGATACTTGAGATATATCTTGAATATAGATTTTAAGTATATCTTGAATATAGATTTTAAGTGGTTGCATGTCGTGACCCTGATTATGCAATTCAAAGTCCCTGGTATAATTACTTGTATATTCAAGAATTCAAAAGTAAATCGAGTGATAAAGCTTGCCTAATTATATGATTACAAAATATAATAAAACTAGAAATTTTATTAACTTTGGAAAGTAACCTTGAAATTACTATATGTAATAAAGCCCTACTAACAGCCTGTTTTCTTATAATTTTAGATTTTCACCCTCTAACTTAACTTCAGTTAAATGAGAAGTCTGACTTTTAATGCCTAGAGAAGTGGGATTTTGCTATAATTTTATTTTAGAGATGAAAACAATAGACCATATACTTAAAAATTGACTTACCTTCGTTGGAAAGTACAGAATTATAGTGAATGACGTTTTCTTTAAAGCATAATTGAAAAATCACTCAATTTGCATAATAGACCTGAACGACTCTTTGGTAGAATAATTACCTCCTTAAGTTAGCAAACAAAACAAAAAAGCCAGTGAAAATTTCTTTACCTTATGGAACTCACATTTGGTTAGATTTTAAAATAATAGTTACAATTTGTATCCTTTTGAAGAATTGACTCAGTTAACTGTAGAAATTGGTATCTGTGTCTGTATCTGTGATTTGTAGAAGAAGGGCTGTAAGAAGTATCCCATATCAAGTTTACTGCTGCCTCCATTCCCAGGACCTCATGCATGTTAGGCAAGCCCTCCACCACTGAGTTGTATATCCCTAGCCTTGCATGTCCCTTTAAATTTTTTGTTCTAATAGGAAAAATTAGCATTAGTGCTTGTTTTAGAGGGTAACATTATTATAATACAGTAAAATTTTTACACATTGGGGTAAAGGTCATCCTGAGGAATATATGTCATCTTTTCATAGGCAAGATTTAATAAAAAACTAAAAGTTGTCTAAAGCTTCTCATTCTCTCATTTAATCAGAGATCAGTAGCTGCAAACACTTGTGGTTTGTTTTGAAAGCTAAATTTTTAAACCATCAAATAATTTTTCGGTTCACAGTATGTACTATTTTACACACTGAAAAGCTAGTAGAAGTTTTTGGTAGGTAAGAATTTTCTTTGCTTTAAATCAGTGGGCTATATATATTTTTATACCTGAAAGAGCATTGCAGGAGGGCAGAGTGCTTACTTGTTTATTCCAACGCCAAATGCAAAAATAGCTTAAGGTGCAGAGCTACAATAGTTACCATTTATTTTTATTTTGTTATTACAGAAGATGAAAATGTATGAAAGCTTTTAGGCAAATATCCTGGAAATACTTTTTATATTGATTTCTTTGATACGCTTATCAATCTGAAGATTAAAAATATTTAAAACCCAAAGGAAAATGTTAATTTATGCTTTGGAGTCCAATATAAAATGTACTTTAAAATTTGAAAGAAGATACTAGGAGATATTCTATGCCAAATATATTTGTTGGATGGAAATTTTCTTAATACTTTTGTCCATGAAGTATTAATTTCTCTTTAGGGTTTCAAAAAATAAGTTTTACTTGCTTATGCTACATTTAATCAAATTGAAGCATTTTCTTAATTTTTATAAAGCAGTAGATAATAAAGGAAAAGGAAAGTGGGCCTTTGCCAAGTTTTGATATTATGTTAGCATTATTATCAGAAACAAATTGCTGTTTAATTTGCCAGTAACCTCAGTGAATTCAAGCTATTGCGTAGTGCTCATTTCCCCAGATATTATTCAGTAAACTAGATTGGATGACTTTCATTTATTTATATAAAAGTAGGATATTATTGAATTGTTTGACATGATATTTTTTATTTAAGAATGAACTGTTACTTGATTTTGGAGATATAGTGTTAAAACTTTATCTGTCCAGTTAACTAATTACAGTGTAGCAAATACTTGCTTATTTTAAAGAACTTATTGTGAACTTTCTGATAGTGGTATTTGCACACATTGCCAGATTATTACATTGTGAAAATTGGGAAATATTTTATAGGAAATTCCCAATTCTTAGAATGTATAATTAGAATTAATAATTTCATAGTTTTCTAACATGATTTGAAAATTGGAGGGAAAAATGCTTAAAGTTAAATTATGTGGTGGTGTAGTAAAAAAAGTGACAAGAATTATTGTTTCTTTAATGATTTTTAGAGAGGAAACACTACTTACTAGCTTTTGAAGATTGTGTAGGAACATTGTGTAATTTGTATTACTCTAAAGCTGATACATATCTAAAATTAGAAACAGTGGCTTTGTTAGGCTTTTCTACAATGATATAAAGATCCTTTTTCCCTCTTCTGAGCATTCAGATTTATATAGTTAACTTCTATATACAAAACTGCTGAGTTAGAAAATAATTTTGTTTTAATGCCCTGGTTTTTACCAGTGTTCTATACTAACCTAGAACATTTGGCTTAGAATTAGGTAAAGTGAGAAAGGAAGAAAAAGGCTGATGCTATAGTTTTCTTCCTTCCCTTTACTCTCGATTCATTTGTATGTTGTAGGTATAGTGTCTTCAGTCTTTTGACTTTTGAGTTTTTCATAGTAAACTTGAATTTTAAAGTTTCCCCATCTTGATTTGCATATATAGGGTTGTTTGTTTTTGGTTTATAGTTTTAAAATACTAATACATCCTATAATTTTCTGCTTTCAAAAGAAAGCAGTTTTATACATAGTTCATTATTTTGGATGCTTCAAATATTATAGCAAGTATACTATACCAGGAAATAACACAATAGTAGACAATAATCTCTTATTGGTTGAATGTATAATTTCATTTTTTTTAATGTTAAATGTTACTGTAGTTGTCATCATATAAATATATCTGTAGTTTGGGTTTAGAAACAGTACAGCTTATGTACTTTTTAAAAAAGCAGATACCTGTGTCAGTTACATTTTAAAGTTATACACTGTTTTAAGGCTATGTATTTATTTTTTAGAAAATATAACTTACATGAATATCTTCTGGTGGACATAATATTGACCAAAATATACACGATATTACTTTAACAAACTGCCATGCAACAAATACATTAAGTAACGAAGAAATTGAATATATATGACTTAATCTAATTGACATTCACATTGAAAATTTACAACATAACCAGAACTTAAAATGTTTTTTTCTTATATTTGGCAGTAATTTTATTTTTTACAATTTAAATTTAAAACTCTTCTGAATGTAGATTTGGTGAAACTTAGACTTTTTCCTAGTCTGTGACAACCTGAGGTACTAAACATTTTTCTCTTATTTCACTGTCTTCATAAGTAATCTTTTTGTTTCTTTTAGGATCTATCCAAGAGTTGTGTATTACAGCATTATTAGGCATGGGATCAGCTTCAACTATGGAAACAACTCGTTTTTTCATTTTACTTTTTAAGACCTTTTGAAATTTTTGTCTAGTGAATGCATATAATAGAGGGTGAAATATAGTTGTACCATAAGCCATGACTAGAAAACACAATCTTAATTTTACTAAAAGGTCACTTGGGCCTAAACATAGAATGGTGGTATTTAAAACAGAAATTGGTGTCCAACAGAGAAGAAATGTAGAAATAATCAATAAAGACATTTTGAAGACTCTTTTCTGCCTTTCTCGTCGCTCACGATGTCGTTTCACAGCTCGACGAAGGGCAATTATTACAGAAACTGAAGTTCTTACACCAAACACTACATTTCTTCCACCACTGCTTTGTGACAGGTCTGTAGCCTCATGTTGTGTGGTTAGAGAGATTGTCTTTTTCTTTCTTGTTTTCTTCTTCTGCCCTGTTGAAAATCTTGTGCCTATTCGAATATTAAGAGCCTGAAGTATCTTGGTGTATGTGATTAACATTACTATAACTGTGAAAAAGAATATTGGGATCTGTACTAGAAGATGATAATACATTCCCAGTTCAGTGTAGTACTCATTTGTACTGACACACAAGAGAGTCTTGTTTTCCCACATATTTCCACTTTGAAGACTGAAAAAATTTACCTCAATAAAGGGAATCAGGAAGGAGAAAAAGGAAAAAATCCAGATGGATATCATTAACATTACAGCTCTGCCCATTGTCAGAATTCGATTGGCAGGTTTTACAGAGATGTCATATCTGTCCAAAGTGATAGCAAACACATTGATTGCTGTTGAGACACTTGCAAAAGAAACACAAGCCTCATGGAAGCAGCAGATGAGAGCAGTGTTACTCTCCAGTGAAAGTAGAAGGATAACTATAGTTAGAGGAATACATCCCACACAAATAATTACATCAAGTACATGAAGATTCATTGTAATAATGTTACTGACAGAGTTGATTAAGTTGGATTTCATGCAGTAAAGTACCAATACGGTGAGGTTGCTGCCAAGTCCCAACACAATTTCTAACATAAGAAATCCAGTGAGAGGCACTTGAAAGCTTAATGGATATGATAGTGGTTGGTACATATTGGTGTCGATGTCATCAATGTCATCTCGCACTGTAATGTTAGATTCAGACTGCATGTTGGTTTCCAGAACAGGAGAAAAGCACATTCTTTTGGAGCAGTTGTTTTTTCCCTAGAAAGTGAAATAAAATAAACTATTTGATATTTGGTAATTTAATGCTGTATAACACACATATTCTTTGTAAACAAAAAATCTTTTTATTGTGTTCTTATTTTAATTTTTAAGTTTGTAAACTATTATTGGAAAATGTAGAATTAGGAAACATTAAGATGGATTTGTTTTGATGTAAAAGGAAATTGTGTTCTCCTTTTGAAGAAATAACTATTTGGGAATTATTCTCCTATTAGTGCAGAATTGCTTAATATACTAGAAGGGTTTTTCTCATTTGGAAATGAGATATTTGTTTTTGAGAGAACATATTCTTTTGTATAATAAAACTACTCAGCATGCAAAACTAGTTTTAGTGTGATGTTTTAAAATTTCATTTAAAAATGTTTGGGTAGGTAGAAAGTAAATGCTGTTTTAATATGCTGTAGCATAGTTAATGTAAGTGTAATTATTCCTATGAGAGTTCAAACGAACAGGGCAAGTGTTCATTAAAAAGGATAAATGTACAGAGCACTAGTTTGTTTATACTATCTTATCCTTGTTGACTGAATCTCATAGAAGTCAACAATGTACTTTGGAGTATTTGGAGTTACTTCCCACAGAAAGAGGCAAATGACCAGCATTTCGCATATAACCCTGAATATACTCACTGGCAAACTTTTGTTGGCAAACTTATAAAAATTGCAAGAAAATGATCATTATGCCAAGCTAAAGAACTGGGTTAAAAAAAGCACTAATCACTCGTATGAATGATTTATTTTGTGACCACACCCTCTACTATTTTGTAGAAGGAGAAAATAAAAATTTAATGCATATTAAAAATAGCCATCTTTGAAGTAGTTTAAAAGAATGTATCAGGCAATTTTATTTGTTTCAACAGAGTTTTCAGAGCAAAAAAATGAAACTCTAAGTAGTAGTAGTCCATTTTTTGAGGAATCTTTTTAAATTGCATATTACCTGTGAAACCTTTTTATATACATCAACCAGTGTATACTTTTGAAGACAGTTTAAAAAATAAACACTCTTTTGCTAATTCATGCAAATCTGTGTTTTAATATAGAGGGGCTTAGAATAATCTCTAAAAATACCTGATTTTTCTGGGCTGAAATATCTATAATCAGTATATTTACTTTAAAATATGAAATCATACAACCAACTGTATTTCACATTTCAAGTACAACATTTTGACTACAAAATTACATTCAAACATAAACTATAAAAGCTATGAATTTTCAAAATCCACATTAACCTTTCACTTGATGTTATCTTTGACAGTTTTTAAAACATAATTTTATTTATGCATGTTATTTGGGGCTAATATTTCAGAAACACAAATGATAGCATTATTAGCTTCTTTGAGTTGACAAATATTAATAGAGGCATATTTATTCAAATAAATGAAGATCTTAGCTAACACTCAAATCATATAAAACTGGAAAATTTTAGGTGTACCAAATTTCCTGAACCAACAGATTAGACATAAGGTCTTTGTAACATCAGATTTAAAATTAAGCAGACATGTCAAGTTAGACAATTAAGAAAAATACATCTCTTTTCCTTTTTAAATGTTAAACAGTGTGATGGGATACATGCATCTTCTGACCTACCTGTTTGCTGTTGCCTTATGGGCCTTTTGGCTCACTATGGCAGTTTTTCACAAATTGATACACGATGTCATTGACAGATTTTGACATGAATTGTTCACTGACAACAGTGAAGTAGCTGTGTTTTATTTCATATCTTGTAGACATTCTTTCTTTTTTTCTCCAATACTTCAATTGCATGAATTGTGAGTTTAGCTAGCTGATGGACTTCTAAAGAATAGTACATAATATTTGTGTTTGTTTTGGCTTCAAAAGTCACGATCAAAAGAAATTTCCTCAAATGATAGGAATTATGTTTCCCTTTGGGGGAATATATGGTAGTGTCTCTTTATTTTCCAGAATATGTGAAAGCAAAAAGGTAAACATAAGGTCTCTGGCTTCTAAAATGTATTTAGACATCCTTTTGTTACAATTTTAAATCTGTTTCTACGGCAATCCTCATTATTTTGAAATGATTTCTTGATCACATAACTTGCTTTATATTATAAATCCAATCCATGTTCTTTTGATGAAAACCATCTGCTATTTAATTTGGTTTGTTTTCATTAGAAGAATATACATAATTGATCATAAAGCTCAGATGGAAAAATCCATTAGTCATATCAATTGATATGAATACCTGAATATTTAGTGCAGAAAACACTTGCTGGTAAAGTATGTCGTTCTCCATTTTAAAATTCATGTTTCATTGTTTCTTCAAGAGTCGGTAGCTTCCACAATCCTGGTATGTTAAAGTATAAATTCCCCCTTTAAAAATGCTCACCATTTTGTTTTCAGGCTTTTACAGTTATATTGTTTTTCTTTTTGTGGTTATTTTATGTAGCATCTTCTTTGGGTAATGTTGATTTGTTGTATCCCAACAGTAATGTACACCTAGTCCTTAGGTTTTAACTCCTTAGTTTCTTAAGATCATGTGTTATAAGAACATCTTGCAGTTTGTGGTTCAGAGAGCTGGGGAGATTTCTCAGTGAGTTGCATTCTTCAAATTGTCAGATGTAAATACTGAATTAGCTGCTGTGGGCCCTTATGAAAAAAGAAAAAAAAAAGGTTGAGAAATAGGATTTAGGATTTCTAATAATTTTTAATTAATGGAAAGTTACTTTCCATTTTTAAAGCCATGCAATATTTATTCTCAAACTGTTTTGCTAGAGTAATAGCTTTATGCATAAAATTAAGGTCTATGAAATAAAATGCCTCCTTTTCATAACAGAGATTGTATATGTAACATTATTTGACATTAGAGTTAATATTGCAAATATAACCCCGAGAGTAAGGTGTATTTATAAACCTGTTTCTGCTCTTTTTAGAACTAACTTGTAATCTCAGAGATTATGAACAATTAGTATATACTAAACATGCTGTCATTCCCTCTTGTCTTTGTAATAAATTTAACATTCCCAGCTGCAAAAATATTGTAGTTTGTTTAATTATTAGCACATGGGTTGAATTTTAACTCATTAAAACAGATGCCATAATAAAATACTATAAATTCCTATTGATGAATTGTTTGTGTGGTTGGAATGTAAAAGGTAATATAAAAATTAACTGTAAATTAAATAATTTTCAATGAACATGCCCAATAATAATCTAAACATAAAATTGAGTAGTAAATAACACCTAAATACTAAAAGTGGTTCTTACAAGAAACAAACATTTTTGGACATCTGAGAAAAACTGTACTGATGACATTAGGAATATTTATCTGAAGTGACTTAGGAGCTCATATCTTCGTAGTGAACTAACCGAGACTATTCTTTGATTAAACAATCCATCCTAAAAATTACATTAAAATATATCATGTTTTCAAAGAAATAAATCTAAAAATTACATGATTAGCAATAAGTAGAAATAAACAAATAAACTCTTTTAGGCTGAAATTTTTAAAGTAATTTTACCCCACTATGCTGGTTCAAAAGCAGCTCTAATAGTGTAATAAGGAACACATCTTACCTCAGCTAATGATTTGATAGATTCTTGATGTAGTTGAAGCATTTCCAGTTTTGATTGATTCATTTTGTTCGCTTGTTAGTAGAGGATTGGGGAATGAGGGTCATAAACATCTCTTCAAAAATGACCTTAATGAAAATATGTGTCTGTACTGTGCCATTGTTTCAGCAGTACTGCTAAATGTATAGAACGTGTAGTGCTGTTTAGAGGCTGCTGCAGTCTCTCACTCTTCCTACTGTGGAATCAGTAAGCATCTGAAAATACATAATGAAAGTAATTTAACATACTGAAGGCTTCTTGTCTCCAGAGACAACATTTGGATTCAGTCTTTCTAAAAAGGAACGGCACTGCTTTTCAGAGGAAAGCCTGTTCTGAGCAGCTTTTGCAGAATGACAGCCTACCTTGTCGCTTCTCTCCACTGCAGAGAGATGCAGTGCATTCACTAATTTTGATTGGTCAGTTGTATTGGGTTTAAACTGTGCTTCATATGTATAGCAGGGGTTCCCCCCTCCACACACACTGCTTTATATAAGGATGCTTTTTAAAAGGCTAAATTTGTAAGTGATTGTATGTTGCTCTTAAGTAGAATATGAGTAAATTAATCTCTTAAAAATCTGTATTCTATTCTGGTTTGTTGTTCACTAATGCCAAACATTAAAAAATTCAGAGAGATGAGTGTGAAGGAGGTGTTAGGAAAGATTTAGTATATATTCTTCTTAAAGTCTTGATAATTACACTTGAGGATATTTTACTAGCTATATATGTTTTTGATTTAGAGTCTTTGTTCTACAAATAGAAACCCAGTGCATCTTTATGGTGAACCATGTTGAATTTCAAATACTTTGCTTGTATTCAAGTCATCTCTGGGTATTCCAAATTGTTGTGAACATCTCAAGGTGTTAAATATTATCATGATTTCAATATTCGTCCAAATATTCCTTCATTTCATTCATTCATTCACTCAAAATATTCATCAGATTGGTCTAGGCAATTATACCATAAAATATTTTTAAAACATTCCTGTGCTAGTAACATAATTGTGGTGTATAAAATTTTAATTCTTTGCTTTACTTTTGGAAGTGGTAGGCTTCAGTCTTTACATTTGGCAGTCCCTTTATTTGGAAGATGTATACTGGCCATTTGTTGTTAGTATTTTATTTCAACTGGGTATTTTTTTTTTGAGATGGGTACATTTTTTGGTAGATTGCTGTTTTGTAAATATTACATGTAGCTGTATGTTAATGTTGACAGGTATATGTACTAAGGGAAAAAGTTATATATACTCATAAGTTATAAAGCTAAATTATTTTTATATGCTGTCAAAATAGCAAAACAATGATACAAAAACATACTAATTTCAAATTTGATTTCTATTAATTTTGTTTACCTCCAAATCATTTCTTTTCTCAGTACTGAGAACAAATATTGTTTTTGAACGTGACT